ACACCAGTACACCTCATCACTGAGTGCGCCGAGACGACAACCATTCGTGCCATGAACTTTGGTACGACTGATATTGGAGATGGAGAACTACCCTCTATAAAACCGTCCCAGATACTGGCTTTTGTCAAAGCCCTGGGACTGTATGATGATAACTCAAGAAAGGGGGACACAATAGATCTGTAAGGTAGCAGTGATTAACCCCCCTCCCACTCATTCTAAAAATTCTAATTTAATTCTCTAATTCTAATTCATAGCCATCGCTGACGCCGTTTTTATTCGGTCATACGGTACATTGAATTAAAAAAATTTAAAAAGATTTTTTAAAAAGAACATTTTTTTAAAGAGATATTTACCAAAGCACCCATGACCGGACAACACTTGCGTTACGTAGTAGTCCACTTAGAAATCCAGTTTTCAATGTTCGGTATAAGTTTATGTGTCCATCTGCCATTTTTCCAATTTTCCCATTTATATCCCATTTCCCACTCAGTAATCATTTTACTTCGGGCCTCTTGCCTTGAGAATCCAGAGTAAGTTGCATGTCTTTCTTTTATTAAAAGATCTATTGGAGGCATTCCAGCTATAACGCAAGCACCTTCACTAGATATTGTTCGGTATTCACAGCAAATGCTGATAGAATAATATATCTATAGATATTTGTAATGCAACTATAAGTAAGCAACGAAAATAGAACTGCCTTGTTGTATTATTGACTTTGGTCAAATGTCCTAAGTATAGGATAATGCATATTGCGCATATACACTAAAATGCATGTTAATGCAAATAATACTTTCTGTGATTGACTACATTTCATTTATTTTGGTAAAGTGGGTTATAATTAAATAATACCTACACCTAAAAAAGTGCCAATTTTATTTCCAATTAATTAGTAAAATTTAAATATTTTTCAAGGTTGCATGCCTGCCAATCTAATTATTTTATTTTAAGGTAAATGAAGGCAAGAGCAAATTCCGAGAACTATATTTAAGAGAATTAACAATTAATTTGATATTAAACTCTGTCATCAGTCAAAAGTTGATACAGGGTGGCCTAGGCTTCCGAAAAAACTCTATATTAGGTTTTTAGGTCAATAATGGGTGATTCAAACCTATTTTCAAACGAAACTTGTATATTTTTTTAAATGGAATACTATACCGGGCAGTGGCGGATAGAGAGGGGGGGCCGTGGGGCCCGGGCCCCCCCTAAAATCTGTAAATTGTGTAAAATATTAGGCTTTTGGGATAAAAATGGCGGCCAAAAAGCGTATTCTACATTGTTTTTTATTTTGCCCCCCCCCCTAAAATAAATTCCTGTATCCACCCCTGATACCGGGTTCGTCTCAAAAGTGGCTGACCCCTATAACATTTTTACTTTTTCAGTTAATAAACAGAGATTTGGTATGTTAGTATATGACATAAATTTTGGATTGATTGACGTATTCAATTATTTTCGGTTACTTCCTGTTTCACCGGAAATGACTACAACTTTTGATTTTTAAAGGGCATCCTCGGATTTTTTTTTACTTTATTCGATAGAAAATAACACTCTGAATAGAATGACATATTATATGTCAACTTTTGACATTTGCGCCTCTGGTTTATTTGAAATTATAACATGCGGTTCCTAACAAAAGTTTGACTCAAATATTAAGTGTGTGATATCAAATTATTCGTAAAAAAATGATCTTTCCAAATATACTAATGAGCCACCCTCGTTCCATTTGAAAAAATTGAAATATGATTAAAAATACTATTTGGGCGTCTTTTAAACGGTCAGGACAAGACACTAAAAACATTAGACTATCAAATCTATTTTTCCAAGGCTCCTTCATTAAAAATTAGTGCTTTTAACATAGCCTCATGGCACTCTAAATTGAAATTTAAAATACGATTTTTTATTAAGCGAAAATGTCAGAAGTTGACAGATGATATGTCATTCTATTCAGAATGTTATTTTCTATCCAATAAAGTAAAAAAATACCGAGGGTGCCATTTAAAAATCAAAAGTTGTAGTCATTTCCGGTGAAACAGGAAGTGACTAAAACAATTGAATACGTCAATCAATCCTAATTTATGTTATATACATACTAACATACCAAATCTCGTTTCGGTATATCTTTCGGTATATTTTTTCAGTTCAGTAGATTTTCCATTCAAAAATAGCATAATGTCATATACTATACCGGGTGGTTTTTGAAATATAACCGTTTTTTAACTAAATTTACTGCCCTCTCAAAGTTTTAAATTCGAAGAATGAATTTTAAATTTTTTAACTGTAAGTACTGAACAATAGTGTATTTTAAAAAAACTCAGACCTAATTAATCACCGCGATCTTATAGATCTATTGCGACTCCCTTTCTGATGTCTGCATACAGTGCAGAGCTTTGAAAAAAGCCAGTATCTGAGACGGTTTAACAGAGGTTAGTTCTCCGTCTCCGATATCGATCGGACCAAAGTGTATGGCACGAATGGTTGTCATCTCGGCGCACTCAGTGTTGAAGTGTTCTTGTGTTTCCCCATTTTCCCCACAAAATCTGTATTCGCCGTTGTTTCTTGGTTTCAATCTGCTGAGATGCTCATTGACAAAATAGTGTTCTGTTAAAAACCCAGTGGCAATCCAAAGATTCTTCCTACTTAAATCAAGGGAAATCTTAGTTAGCTCTGAGAAATGTCTTCTAGTGTCTTAGACCGTTCGTGCAATAAACTTTGGTACGACTGATGAGGAAGATGGAGAGCTGGCCTTAGTGGAGCCGTCTCAGATACTGGCTTTTGTCAAAGCCCATTGTATGATGAGTTATAACTGGTTATAGCTCAAAAAAGCAGAACACACAATAGATCTGTAATGTAAGCCGTAAGGTACTGTATTCAACACACTCGAGTGTTGTTTTAATATGTAAAATGTGAACGTGTGTATGGATTGACTTTAATTGTATTTGTCTGATGATGCTCGTATGAGCAAAACACGTGTCACGTTTAACTTAATATAAACGTTGAGACCGAGTCTTTTTTAGACTTCTTGTTAATTTAAACCAGGTCTCTTTGAGGAGAATGGACACATTCTTTAAATTTTTTATTCTAGGAGCCACAGATGCCCGACGCACTTTCAGTGTTCCCAACTCTCAAAAATTTATATCCCTAAAAATCTAAAACGCTTACATAAAAAATCCTCAAAATATCCCTAAAAACCTAAAAAAATATCCCGAAAAAACCCTAAAAATATAAATAATAGTAAATAACAATTTCTTAGAAACAATTTATTGTATTTTAAGTGGTTGACCTGGAAACGTCTGATCACAGCAATGTAGCCAACTGTTCGAAACTTTCCCTTAAAATAATATCAAACCTTAAATCCAAACAACTAAAATCCCCACAACTATTATCCAAGATTCAAGTATTTATCACGTTCAATGGGCGCATTCAGTACACATCGGTTAGTCCACCGGTGTAGAAAATTAAAGTGAATGCCAATGGTACACCGGTTGTGGTCACCAATCACTCGAGAGCCTACCGAATTTGTTTCCGGTTCGTTTATATACCAGTCGCCGTAGAAATTTTGCTACAGTAGCACCCTCTTAAGTATTCCCCCTTTTATGACCACTTTTCAATACACGATTATTATCAAATAAATGAATAAATTATTTTCTTTTATTTATACTCTCCTTTTAATTTTGAGAAATAGCAGTAGCGATAAAATTCCACTGAAATTTTATCCCTAAAAATATCCCCATAAAATTTTACTCCCTAAAAAAATCCCGGTATAGATTTTTTCTCCCCAAATTTAGGGATAAAATCCCGGAGTTGGTAATACTGCGCACTTTTTCCGGACCCTGTAGACTTTATGATCATAACCAACATGAGATACAGGCCAGAGACATCGATTTGTGACGTCACCGCCATAGTCAGGCTTTTGTATTGTGCCATATGGTACTGCATATAGTTTTTGCATAAATAATAATATTTATTGATAGTTTTGCCAGATATAAATATAAAAAATATTATACACAAAGGTATTAAAAAATAACGTTAACTTTCTGTCGCGTTAACAGCATTAAAATTTAGATCTAAAACACGAATATTAATATGAAATAAACAACAGCATAAGATGAACAGAATAAAATCCAGATAATAAAAAGCATGTCCTAAAATTGCGTTAGCGAGTATTTAGCAACTAGTAATAATATACCTTGTGATAAAGTTTCCAAATATTAAAAAATTTGAAAACTATACTTTATCGACAAGTTAAGAAAATGTATTGTATATGGTAAGGGCAGAATACATTTTAAAGTTTAATTAAAAATAATTGTAAAAATTTGCCTAACATATTTAAAAAATGTGGATATCAGGTCGAATTAACTATTATCATTAAGTAATTTGTAGTTCGATGTTCATCAAGTAACTATCTCCATATATCGTAAATAAAAAAACATATCATTTTTTTATATAAAATACTGAAATAAAGTACAATTCATTTAATTTCTTTAAAATATATTGCCATATCATAATAATAATATATATTTCATAATAATAATAATAATTCCAAATCCTGTTTTCTTTCATCGGGATGTTTGGGAACATGCACAGTCATATAAGAGGGTTGATTTGGAAAAATTGTAGGCACAGCATCTTCTGTAGGTTTTGGACGTAACCTAGTTATAGTTAATATTGTTGGGAAAGAGAACGTAGAGAGATCCTGAGTACTTATTATAATTGCTGCTACAAGGCACAGGCACAGAACAATGTCCTGGCATTTTTTATTTCACAGAGAAAAAAATTAGAAACGAAAACTGTTTTACCTAAAAATACACGTCACTTACGTTGGTTTACCACTATACACTAACACTAACGCCTATTAATTACTATAATTATAATTTAATTACTATAATTATGTAACTATAATTTTTACCGAAAGTATGTTTTTTTTCGCGGATACGATGTTATGAATCGGATCTAGATAGTTCACTATTCACTCAGAATACATTCAAAATTATTTAGTATAATTTTATTAGCATAGAAACGCGTAAAAAACACAGATTTGTTGCGAAACTAATGAAAACAATAGGTTTGTTTACGACTACTAATTCTCGACCACTTCGGTAGAACTGTCAAAACAGTCAGGCCTTGAATATGACGTTAGCCACGTTATGATCTCTAAATAGTTTTAGAATTTGGACTTTATTTTGTCTAACTCTATTTACATTTGTCACTTTGGATGTACAACTTGGATGAATCATCCAAAGTGATAAGTAAAAATTGCCTTTCATCACTGTTTCAGCCAAAGTGTACTACTAAAATCGAACGATGAAACAAGTTGACGGTCTTTCTACTTTTGTTGACACTGGGAGAGGTGAAAGCCTGCGGAAGATGAAACAGTGGACTGGTACGAACTGGATGAAAATATGTAAACAAGGATGTTCAATTTGGATGAATTAGTCAAGAAAGATAAGAATTGGCTATAACTCAGTAATTTTGTGAAAGAAACATATTATAGCTTATACCGCTAAATAGATTAAAAAATGGCGCTTTTTATGAAGTCATTGCCAACTATCGTTTCCATTTAAAAAAACAATTGTTGGTGTCATATGTCAAAAATGACAGGCTTTAGAAAAAATCGGAGAACACAAACTCATTAGGAATGTGATTATCTACAACTTTTATCTGAACAAATTTATGACCACCCAAAATTGCAATTCTTTCCCCATTTAACCGACTCTCTATCTCCAGTAATTTCAGAGATGCCCATAGAAAACATCGTAGGAAACTCACCCTGTATATATACCTATATAACATTGATTCTCTTGAAAAAAATTAATGATATATATGTATTAAAAAACAGAGCTCGTTTGAAAGCTCACAATAAGGTTGTTGGATTGTTTTCGAAATAAAAAACTGTCTGCCATATAAACTATTTCTATTCAATGTTAGACTACTTTCTTCTAAACCCAACTAACAATCTTTAATTATTGTAATAAGCCGCGTTTTAAATTTATGCTGCCATAAAAAATTGCTATCCTTGTTGCAAGTGTTTTTTCGCCTGATATGTTTGACATTCATATAGGTTCCATTATCACACCCTTGCTCTTGGTCTTTGTATATTATGTAACTGTAAACGCGGTTATTTATACGTGAATTTTACTATTGAAATTATTCATTCCAAATAGTTTATGCAATGGCAATCGTATCAGATAAAAAAATTTAAATTGGTGCTCAAAATATTGAAGAAATATTTTAAATAAATATCTGCTACTATTTCTATATGTGATCTGCTACTACTTCTATACAGGGTATCCAAGTATTCCGTGGACATAGAACTACTTCGTATTGGGAATAAAAATAAGTTCTTTAGGCACAATTTACCTCTATACAAATATGCTTTGTTTGTCCGTTAGAAGGCATCAAACTTTAAAAAAATAAATACATTTTTATGTATTTAAGTAATTTTTTAAGTTTCGCAGTAAGTTGTGGGTGTCGATGCAAAATTTTGGTATCAGTAGAAGGTATGTCCAAGCAACAAGAAAATTATACGAGGGTTGCAGTAGTACAATGAAACTTGAAAACAATATTTTCCAAGAATTTCTTGTAAATAAGGGCTTAAGACAAGAGTGCTCATTAGCACCAACTTAGAGCCTATAAGTATATTTAGAAAACTGCATGAGGAATATTCGAAATGGGACCTAACAATAAATACAAAAAAGACGGAATACATGGTAATGGGCGATGAGAAACGTGAGGAATACTTGGGTGTCACTTTTACAACAAATGGAAGAAATACTCAAGGCATCACAAATAAAGTTGGTGAGGTTGAGTTATCGGTCATATTGATCTCTTTGCTGTAGAGTGAGGAAATTTCCAAAAAGAAAAAAATCTTAATATTAAGCCATTGTAGAGAGCATTACCACTTATGGTGCTGAAACGTGGGAGCTAAACAAGATGGAAAAAAATAATTTGCTGTCTCTTGAAAGGTATTTTTGACGAAGAAGTTATCGCATCTCAATGCTGGAACAAAGAATACGAGAAATTATAAGAGAGATCAAATCAAAGAATACGAGAAATTATAAGAGAAAAAGAAACTATCCGCGATCCCATTGAGAGCAAAATACTACGTTGGTTCGGTTGGTTCGGACACCTCCAACGAATGGATGATAACCGATGGACAAAAAAGTTCATTCATGGACACCAAGCGAAGATGAAAGCACCTCGAAGATGAAAGCAGGGTGTAGTTGACGCTATGAATTCAAGGGGACTTCAGGAGGAACACTGGACAGACAGAAATCTGTGGAAGACAAGAAGCAGGAGACGACGAATGTCGTAAAAAATCCGCAATTTATATAAAAACATTTTTTAAGATATGTAAAGAACCTATATTCCGATTTGAATGACATTTGGGATGCCTATGTTTTGATAAGCGCTTTCACATTTGACTTTCACAAAAATCAAGGGTGAAAACTACCCCCATCCCTACATAAATTTTAGTAGAAATATTTTCCGACAACTCTACCGACCTTCTTCTTCTTTATGTACCGTCTCCATATCGGAGGTTGGCTATCATCATTGCTATTTTGACCTTGGAAGCTGCGGCTCTAAATAGGTCACATGACGTGACATTAAACCATTTTCGCAGGTTTCTGAGCCAGGATATTCTTCTCCTTCCAACAGATCTTTTTCATACAATTTTTCCCTGGATTATGAGTTGCAATATCTCATACCTTGGACCTCTCATGATATGGCCGAGATATTGCAATTTTCTTTTTTTCACTTCCTTGAGGATACGCCCTTCCTCATTCTTCTCAGAACCTCCACGTTGGTTATATGTTCTGTCCATGGTATTCTCAACATCCTACGGTATGCCCACATCTCAAAGGCCTCCAGTTTCCGCTCGCAAAGCTCGTTGAGGGTTCAAGCTTCCATACCATACAAAAGGACTGGGAATACATAACATTTGAGCATACGAGTTCTCAGATCTAGGCTCAAATCGCGGCTACAGAGCAGCTTCTTAATCTTCACAAAGGATGCACGGGCCTTCTCGATGCGAATCTTTATTTCTGAACAATAATCCGCGGTGCAGTCGACACTGGTACCCAGGTAGTCATACCTCTCTACTCTTTCGAGCTCCTCGCCTTCCGCGTACAGATGTTCATTCGGCACTCCAGTTTTAGTGACAATCATGTATTTGGTCTTCTTAACATTGAGTGTCAGACCATATTCTCGACTAGTTGTGATGACGTTATTTAACATATTCTGAAGGTCTTGCATGTTTTCAGCGAGAAGGACTGTATCGTCCGCGTAGCGCAAATTGTTCAGTGGTATGCCGTTAACTAGTATTCCACCAGCATCATTTTCGAGGGCTTTGTTAAAGATTTCCTCTGAGTAGACGTTGAAAAGGAGTGGTGAAAGAACACACCCCTGTCTAACTCCTCGTTTGATATCCACTGCTCTCGTCAGTTCAGATTGGACGCGAACAGACAGCACTTTGATTAAGGTACAGTTTTACTATTATTTGTATATCTCTTGTATTGAGATTTTTTCGTTCTAACGCTTCTATTAGTTGCTTGTGTCTTACTTTATCGAATGCTTTATTGTAGTTAATAAAGCAGGCATATACGTTTTGATTGACATCAAGGCATCGCTTCATTAAGACATTGTAGGCAAACAAAGCCGAAACCATTTCTAAAGCCAAACTGAGTATCTGCTATATATTCTTCTAATTTTCTGTAAATCCTGCGGTGGATGACTTTGAGAAAGATCTTAAGTGTGTGACTCATAAGGCTGATCGTGCGGTGTTCTTCACATTTTTTGGCATTATGCGTCTTTGGAATTGTGACAAACGTCGACTGGAGCCATTCCTTTGGTATCATCCCTGTTTCGTAGATCTTATTAAATAGAGAAGTCATAGCACCTAAGTGTTGTTCTTCAATCAACTTGAGCGCATCTGCAGGTAGATCGTCAGGGCCAGGCGCTTTCCCATCTTTGGCTGCTTTTATTGCCGCTTGCAGTTTTTCCTTTAAAATAGATGGCCCCATTTCATTGTTAATGCTGGTAGTGATTTACCGACCACTGACTTTTTTTCGTAAAATGGTACTCCTACATTTTTTGTCTCTTTTAAAAAAACGCTACATTACATAGTTTATGAGAAAAAAATAGATTTTTTTCCAAATCAGATCTAAAAAATAGTAGTTCCAATTTAACTACACGATTTACCTCTATATCTATACAAAAGTGATTCGTTTGCCCGTTATAGGGCATCAATAAAAAATAAACTCGAACGTTAATTAATTTCAAATTTATGCAGCGTATTGTCAAATATCATTTGTTATCATTGGACAAATCCATATTTTTGCCAACTAGATTATTAATGCATAATAGATTTTATGCACCTACATAACTTTAACCAAGAAAGTTATTTTAGAAGTCAGATTCGGAGAAATATTTTTTTTGCTCAAAAAGTATGCAAAGTTTTTTTTACAAGAGACAAAAAATGTAATAAATACTAGAAGGACCATTTTACGAAAAATAAATCAGTGATCGGTGAGCTTGGAAAATATTTATACTAAAATTTATGTAGAGTGGGGGTAGTTTTCGTTTCCTTCCCGTACTTTTTCTTGATTTTTGCACAAATTAAATCCGTTCTTCTGATTTGAATGAGATTTGGGGTGCCTATGTTTAGCAAAACATAGGCACCCCAAATCTCATTCAAATCAGAAGAACAGTTCTTAAAATATCTTAAAAAATGTGTTTATTTTTTTAAAGTTTGATGCGCTCTAACGGACAAAATTGAAAAGTACTTTTGTATAGAGACACCTATAAATTATGTCCAATGAACTTATTTTGATTTCAAAAATAAGTAGTAGTTCTATGTCAAAGGAATATTGGGATACACTGTATATGTTTTCTGTTTGAAACTTATCTTCTTTACAATATATTGTGAAAGTGATGGCCGTATTGTAATTTTTCTTAATATAACACATTTATTTTTACACTACTGCAAATATGTTGTTAAAATATCTGAGAGTACCGGCGCATTCGCCAAATTACAAAAATTGAGCCTAAACATTTATTTATTAATATAACAGACGTACCTACCATGGTAGTTATAAATCTAAAATTTAAATTAGTATATAAATTAAAAGTATATTTTAGATCGTAATGCCTTTTCATATATCACATGCCCGGTAGCGTATATCTACAGCTCTCATCTGCCATTCTATAGGCATTATTATATATCAATATATATATATATATATATATATATCAATATCATAGGATATATCAATATCATAGGCATTATTATATATCAATCATCAATTGGACCACATAATCGTTCGAAGGACGCATCTAAAAGATGTTAGGCTCACAAAAGCTAGAGTAGATGCCGAATGCGGCACTGACCACCGACTTTTAATTTCAAAAATGAAA